AAAATAAATTGTTATCTTTGGCTAACTTTTGAACATAAAGTAAAGGTTTGGTAATATTTGGAATGTGTAAAACATCTAGCAGTTTGAGGGTCCTAGATGGAATGTGAAGATGAGCGAGTACCAATATTTTTAATGAGAAGAAACTTACCGTTGCCTACTTACGGTTGATCAACACCTTAATAAGGTTCATAGTGATTTAAGGTAGCAACTTCAAGAGTAATGTGGTGAGAAGAACTCGTATCTAGGCACCAAATAGTCATTTGATAAGGAGAATTTGGGAGGTGAACTGCCATATTGGCTTGTGGGTTTAATTGCCGAGAGAACTCGTAAGAGCAATGCAAGGTCGAATGTCCTAAAGACTTACAAATTTGACATCTAGGTGGACTAGATTGGTTTCAATTCTGTTTGCCATCATTGTTAAAGGGGCATCCATTACGACCACGCCAACGCCCTCTTTGTTGTCATCCCTACCACAACCAAAGGGGGTGCCACGATCAAGGTTTGTAGGTACGAGTCCATGAGTCCGTTGGGTAACATTAGCCATGAGGTGAATAACCAAAGTGGTAGAGGGGATTTGAATATCATGCGAGAGAATCCCTTTTAAAAAATTCATGAATTAAAAGTAAATTATGAAGTTTAGAAAAACATACCGAATTAGAACGAGCGAGTTAAGATTGTAATCTACGAGATAAGCCTAAAAAAATGTAAAAATTAAAATCTATGGTGGATAGTGGTTTGCCGGCAGCAATGAGCTCATCACTATATGATGTTGTATGTTAAAGGTACTAAGTTCTAGATTCCGTGCTCTCCTGTTTCAATTATTGAAGAGCTAGATGCAAAGTCATTATTCTTATGCTAGAAGCGAGAGGCTAATGCATTCACAAGCATAGTTCATACCTCGTGAGAGGTGGTGCAATCGATTATTAATGTTAAAACATCGATGGACAAGGAAGCTATAAGTGTGCTCATTAAGAGCTGATCTTGTTGAATCCATGAGCCATATAAAGGGTTTTCTTGGGGAAGTCCTATTTCGAGTGGAAAGGATATGAGAGGGAGGGCACTTGTCACTTGTCATCTACAAAGCCAAATAGTCCTTGGCCTAATAGGAAGGGACACATTTGTGTGTGCTAGAACAAGAAATTAGTAGAGGTTAATTTGATTGAGATGAAGTGGTGGGTATTTACAAGATGGGTAACATGAGGTGATATGGTTTAGGAGGATGGTGGGTTTGGAGGGGTCGATTTGTTGAGGCGAAGTGGGACTAGTTGAGGCCATTGTTACGGTTTTCCTTATAGCTCGATACCAAGTTTAAACAAGGAATATAACTTTTCGTCAATCACACCTATCGCCTATGTTTATCTTTGTATTTATATAACAAGTTATTTACATAGAAGTGTAACTCTATAACATAACATACATAGGAGTATATCTAGGCTATAACTCTTGGAGCCATGTCTTATCTTGTTGATGGCAATACCTATCTTTAGCTCCAGCGAGTAGTAACATGTACGTCCGGGCCGGCTTCGGCAGTAGTGTGTGTGGCCGGGACTTGCTTCTCTCTAGTGGCGCGTGTGGCTCTAATGGCGGTAGTGGAATGTGGTTCGATAATCACAAACCCTTTTTCAAATTTCTTTATAAAAATACATGAATAAGTATGTTTATTTTTATAACCTTCTTTTAATAAATTTTATTAAAGCGATTATACTACATGCATACATGTTAGTAATAAAAAGTAGATATTAAAAAATAAAAAATAAATATAAAAAGTATAACATAAATTAAATTTTTAAAAACTAAAATAATAATAAAAATATTAAAATAATTCCTCTATAATTTAATTAAATTCATTTCTCGAGAATATGTATTACATGATTCGAGCATCTTAAGTCCTTATGGGACTTTCATATAGACATCATTTTTAAGCGAACAAATAAGTCGTGATCACATCCATTAAATATATGCATATGAAGTTTTTCATATATTTTACCAAGCTAATAAGATAACAAAATATAATTACATCCATTACGGGAAAATATATCTCTTCATAGTCAATGTCAAGTCATTGTGAAAGCTCTTATATTATAAGTCTTTCTTTGTATCTCATAATCTCATCTTTCTTATTTTGTTTTAGCAAAAATACTCATTTGTATCCCATTAGCTTAACATCTTTAGGTGTTTTGACTATGAATTTAAAAACTACTCATTTGGAAGAGAATATATTTCTATTTGAATTGCTTTTTTCATTTAGGCCAATAATCTCTATGTCGATATTATTCAATAAATTTGGGCTTAGGATCCTTATTTTCATTCAAAATATCAATTGCAACGAGTATATGAAAAAATCTTATCAATAAATGTTTCTTTTCGGTCCTATTTTCTCCCTATATTGACATAATTTATCAAAATCTCTTAATTTTTCTCAAGCATTCGGACTTCTTCTAGAAGCCTATTATCGAAATATCTTGGAACGTTTAACGAATATTTGCATCCTTTATTTTAATTATTTACCCTTTTTTTTAGGGATTTTTACTTTTAGAACCGATCGATCTTTCACGCTTCAATCGTGCTTTAGATTCATTTAATATAACATTAATAGATTATCCTTTTAGGACATGAATTTTAATAGGCGCATTCTCGGTGCAAACATGCATTTTAGTTAATCATTTAGGATTTGAGAGTGCATCCGGCGGTTGGTTTGCAATACCTTATAAATGAATTATCTTTTGAACTTCTAGTTCACATTATTTTATACGAGAATCAAGATGATATAAAATAGAGTACTCAATGTAATATTTTTTTCAATATTTTCAATCGCTTATTTTGCTTATTCTCTCTTCCTCATATTGAAAAAACTATTTTATCAACATGACGAGTCGATAAATCAAGCTGTAAAAATATCTCTTGTTCATGATTCAAGATATTGAATTATTGAAGAGGATGCAAATTAAATCCAATATATATTTCCAAAAATTCAAGTGTCCATTTTAGTTCATTATGGAGGAGCACCACAAATATATACTACAATGCCAAAAATTCTTAAATAAGAAATATTTGACTCATGACCATAAACCAATTAAGAAGGGAAGAATTTTTTTATAACTTATGGATCTAATGCGAATAAGTCTTACTTGCATGTAAGATTGCATGTCTCTAAACATAAACAAGGAGTTTTGTTTTTAAATAATGATATAGCTATCAATTGAAGCTTTTTGATAAATGATTTCATGAAACTCGTTATAAGTATGAACATAAGCAACAAGATGTTCAACCTTTATTCTAATAGCCAATCAATAATCATTTAACGTTTAGAAGATAAATTCACTAACATTATCGAGAAAAATTATTTTAATTTAGAAATTATGCTTGTAATTGAATTATTAGGGTTGGCAATCTAAAAAATGTCGGGTTTTGAGTAGATAATAAATATACATGTGACCATTTTGTAGATGCATCCGTTAAAATCATAAAATATGCAAATGGTCCACAATGTGAATAAATTGATCCACATATATCACCTTGAATACATTCTAAAAATGCTAAAGATTCAATCTCAATTTTACTTGGTGATGGCTTAATAATCAATTTACCTTGAGAACATGCGGAACATAAAAATTTATTAAATTGAAGAATCTCCTAGCTCTTAATAGATGTTTATATAAAATTTTAATTATTTTTTTACATCATGAAAGACGTAGGATAAAACAATTGGTCATGTTACATAATAAAAGTATTTGAATTAGTAAACTTCGGTTTACTATAACATTTGTTTCAATCATTCAAATATTTTTAATAAATACCACAAGAGAAAATGGGTAAATTTTCTCAATACATATTTTCTACCAAATATAATAATTATAATATATAAGTATTCAATATTTTTCACATTTGCTATATTGATATAATATCAATTTAGACGAATATCTTTAGGACTCAACAAATTGTTATGAGACTTTAGAGAGAATAATATATCATTTATAATAAAATTTGTCCTTTTAGATAATAATATATTTGCCTTTACGGAGTGTTTAAATTATATCATTTCAAGTAATAATATATTCACTCTTTTAGAGTCTTTAAAAGTTATCTTTTCAAGTAATAATATTTTCACTCTTCGAGAGCTTCAAACAATTATATCAATCTCTACAAGCTAATGAACAATTAAGTCTATTTATAGACTTCAAGATTAGAAAAAGAAGTGAAATGACCTATGAACCATTAAAAGATATATAAATAATTGAATAAATTGCATCACCTTTTTAATTTTTTATGTTAAGCTGATGAAATGAATCACATGAATAGTGATGATATGAAATGGTTATGGGCATTCATTGTTTCATAACAAATATAACTTTTTAAGAAATGAAACCCATCCCATTATTATTTTTATCATCATCATCATCATCATCTCAGCTACCATTAAATAATGGACATTATATTTGCTAAGAGACTCAATGCAACTTGTATTTCATCAAATTAAGGTTAAACAGCACCAAATTAAGTCATGTCCAAATGTTCTGGTTGGACTGGTGAATTATGATTTTTAACGAAGAAATGCTGAAGAAACGCAAGGTGGCTAATAGCAAACATATATATTGGCATGATATTGCTGCGATTTATTCTGCTTTTTTTTTTTTTTCAACCGACCAACTCCCCCTCTTGGTACCCCACACTCAGCCCCTCGTTTTTAAAGTTTTTGAAAGAGTTGAATAAGAAAAGAAAAGATGGTGGTGAAAGGGAGGGTTATTTTTCTGCGATTTAATCTGCTAAAGTCCTAGGAGACCTTGCAACTGACATATTGGCATGATATTGCTACGATTTTCTATTCTTAAGGGAAGAATTGCCATTTCTTATTGGAAGTGGAATATATATAATCTAGCCTAGAGTCTTAGACATTCATAGAAAGAGAAGCCCACAACTGAATAAATTCGGACACAAAGTTGATAGTTTTATTTAATAGTATTGTAGTAGCCTCATTCATTTCCCCCAGGTCGAGCTGCCGTTTAGGCAATGCAGAAAGCATAGAGTGAAGTTCCACCAGTCCAAGTTGGATGGAATAACCTTGCCGTGCCGACCGTATAACCATTCCCGAGATAAATGCACCCATAACTTGCTGATACACCGCCGTATACAGTCGCGCTCGTATTGTATGACCAGAGAATATTGCCTGTTTTGGCATCCATCGCATATATAGGGCCATAAGAAGCCACCGATCCAGCGAAAAGTACATCATTGACTATTGTTACAGGTCCCTGAGCAGCTTCGTTGCTGGGGTTTGCTGTGGACCACAATATTTGGCCTGAATTTGCAGCCAATGCTACCCATGCTCCTGCTGTTGTTGTTCCATTAGACGGGGCAAGTGTGAACCTCTCTCGGTTGCTGTTGGCAATGTTCGTATACACTGTCCTCCCATCTGTAGCTGCCCCCCATATCCCTCCTCCCTCCAAGCCACCTGGTCCGGCCAGCTACATATATAAAAATCAGATCTTATTAGTGAATGTTATTATGATCTTGAATAATGTCTAAATACTACAAACCTCTTGGTGAAAACAATCTTAGTTAAATTCATTAGTTACGTGCTTACTTTGGACCAGACTATCGATCCACTGTCTCGATCTAGAGCCCAGGCAAAGCCACTCTTTTGTACAGCCACTGCAACGTCACGTCGTGTTCGGTTAGCAATTATGGTAACTAACATAGGAGCCTCTCCAAAATCTGCATCCAAGTTAGGTCCTGGTGGACAATCAGGGTTGTTTGGAACCAAACATGCAAAATAAAAAATATCATAGCCACCCAGTTGCTTTGACCATTTGATCATCCCACTATCAATATTGATAGCCAAAATTGAGTCGAAGTGGATGTCTGGCCCGATGCACTGATCTGGTTGCGTTGGTTTTGTTGTCTGGTTATTTTGTGCTTCTTGGCACCGGGTCACCTCTAGGGGAGCTGTGTAGAGGTTCCCAGTTCCTACGTAAACCAGCCTCCTAGTTACATCAATAGCGGGGCTGCTTCCCCAAATGGCAGCTCCTGCGTAGCCTCCCAATTTGCCTTTGTTATCGGGTAGCGTATAGGTTTGCCATAAGATAGCACCTGTCCGGACATCTAGCTTTGCCATGCTACCTCGAAAAGTGCAGCACTGATTAGCCGGTAAACCTACTTCAAGCGACGAAACTCCAACATAGAATGCTCTATGGAACAAAAAGAGAAAAGGCAATTGAATTTTTCGTGACCTTATTTGAGGATATTACCATGATTGTATTTCTATATATCAAGTTGCAAAAAAACATACTAACCCTTCGTAAAATGTTCCAGATTGTGTAATCACTGCTCTAGTTCGTGAATCTAGTCGAGTAGACCACACGAGGTTCCCGCTTGCCCGTGTGACAGCAATCACTACAGCAGGCCCATAAATCCCAATCAACAAGAGATCATCGGCTATTGTTGGAGTTGATCTAGACACGGTTACGTTCACGGTGATTCCAGTGCCATTTAGTCCAGTTAACTGGCTGAGGTTTTGCTTCCATATTAAAGCACCATTGAATGCATTAACTGCATACAAATATCCATTCCAAGATGGGAAATATACTACTCCTTTGGCTATTGCTGGAGTCGCAGATATGTCTTTACCAGCAAAGAATGCCCATTTTAAATGCAAATTTTTAACTGTCAATCGGTTGATCAGCACCTCTCCGCTTGCGCTTCTTGTATTGCTTATATCAGCTCCATGATTTAACCACTTAAATCACATGAAATTTTTGAAATTAGAATGACAGTTGTCATAAATTAGCTTCATTAGTAAGAAATTGAATAGAGTGGAAAGTATATTAACACTTACAACTGCATTAGCATCCATTGTAGAAAATAGGCATGGAACGATGACAAGGAAAGCAATGCTACTAAGATAATTCTTGGTCTCAAGATAAGCCATTTTAGTTGCAGTCACAGTTCAATCAAGAAAAAAATGAGAAACTAGTTCATATACACATGTATGAATAAGTAGTAGTTAATAGAACAAGGTCTGACTTTCCTTAAGGTTGACTCAAATCAATATAGAGGGTGCGCCAAACAACATTAACTTTACTATAGATAGACTGAGGCCATTCCGTATGCCTATCCCTTTTGATTCAATGATCATTTGACTTTAACACTCTTGGCTGCAACTTGCAAGGCCAGTTTTGAATTTTTTTGTCCCTTCTTTTTAGTCAGCTAGATTAATCTGAATCAATAAACTGTTGGTGCAAATATAGGATACGGTCTTATACTATACCAAAAAAAGGTATTGCAGGTCATTTTTTAGCTTCTAAAGGCGGTTATAACCGCTTCTACAGATTGTAGAGGTGATTTTGAGGACCGCTTGCAATGCCACCATCTCTACGGTGTAAGGGCGGTTTTGGCAACCGCAAGGATTTACGAGGTGGTTACTTGGGGCGGTGCAAACCACCTCAATTTTTTTTTTTTTTTGAGGTGGTCCAAACCGCCTCTACCGTACCAATATTATTATCGAGTTTTTTTATGCGTAATTTTTGGGGCGGTTCGGAACCGCCTCTACGTTACGGAAGTTGCAAATTCAAAATTTCAATAGTGAAGAAACCTTTCAAGTATATGAACCCAAAAATAGCCCAAAACTAGTCAATGTTTTGACTAAAGATCAAGACCTCATTATTGATATTATAAAACGTATTGAGGATTCCCAACTATAAAAAGAGTACTTAGACAAACTCTTAAATTCTCTTGATGATAAACCAAAAGAGAAACCAAAACCCTCGATCCTACATTCTACAAGTACTAGCACCTATGACCTTACGACCATACTTGATAGGAAAAAGAAGACCAAAAAACCTTTGACTACCATATAGGACCTCTAGTCCGAAATCAAAACCATTAAGCTTGAGCTTAAGGAGCTCAAAGAAAGACAGACTAGAAACTCGGTCTCTTAAAAGTTCTTTTAGAAAAACGAGCAAAAGAGGAGTCGGACTCGCTTCGAAAACCTTGACGAAAATCAAGAGTTACAAAACCTCGAGAATCTAGAACGTGTTCTAGAAGATTTTCTTTTTGTGCTTCGAGAAGTCACTTCTAGGAAATACTTGATTAAAATTACTTTTGTTTTCCAAAATAATTTCAAAATTGATACTATTACCTTGTTTGATGCCGATGCTGATTTGAATTGCATTAAACAAGGAATTGTTCCAAAACGGTTTCACTTAGAAACCCATGAAAAAATTTCTACGACAAATAATTCTAAAATGACCATTAAAGGCAAAACGAAGCCTCTGTGGTCAACAAAATTATTGCCATAAAAACCCATTTCTTGCTTGTTAAAGATATGCATCATATGGTGATTTTAGGAACACCTTTCATAAATCTTATTACTCCTTATAAGGTTTGTGATGATTGCATCTCTTTCAAAACCAAACATACAAAATTGTTTTCTCGTTTCTTGAAAAACCGGATCTAGGAATCTTAACATTATCAAAGCATGTTCTATATATAGCTTTGAAATTAATGCTACGATTGCTGAAAAACAACAACACATCATGAATCTAAAACAAGATGTTTCTTTACATAAAATCCAAAGCCAATTACGAAATGATTTTTCGAAAAAGAAAATTTCAAATTTTCGAGTATGATTGAAAAAGAAATTTGTTACGATCTCTCAATCGCCTTTTGGAATAGGAAACACCATAGTGTTGACCTTCCTTATGAAAAAGACTTTGATTATAAACAAATTCCTACCATAGCTAGACCTATCCAAATGAATGCCGACTTAGAAAAACATTGTCGGTTAGAAATTTAAGATTTAGAGTCAAATGGCCTCATACAAAAATCCGGATCACCTTGGTCTTGTGCTACTTTCTATGTCAATAAGAATCCTAAAATAGAAAGAGGAACCCCTAGACTTGTGATCAATTACAAACCTCTAAACAAAGCTTGAAAATGGATTAGGTACCCTATCCTAAATAAAAAGGATTTGTTACAAAAGTTGCATTCTATATTTATTTTCTCAAAATTTGACATGAAGTCAAGTTTTTGGCAAATCCAAATAAACCCTAAGGATAGATACAAAGCTGCCTTCATCGTCCTATTTGGACAATATGAATGGAATTCCATGTCATTTGGTTTGAAGAATGCCCCTTCTAAATTCTAGAACATTATGAATGATATTTTCCATGCTTATACTGATTTCGTATTGTTTATATTGACGATGTGCTTATTTATTCAATGTCTATAGAACAATATTTCAAGCATCTTAAAACTTTTTTCCATGTTGCAAAAAAGAATGGCTTAGTTGTTTTTAAATCTAAGATTTCTCTATTTCAAACTAAGATTCATTTCTTAGGTCACTACATTTCCCTAGGAACAATCACCCCAATAGAGAGATCTTTAGCCTTCGCAAATAATTTTTCCGACAAGATTCTTGACAAAACCCAGTCTACAAAGGTTGTTAAGAAGTCTAAACTATGTCCTAGATTTCTGTCCAAATATTAATCGTATCGTAAAACCTTTGCATGATAGGTTAAAGAAAACCCCAATTCCTTGGATCGATGAACATACAAAAGCTGTTCAACGATTAAGAAACAAGTTTTAGAAATTTCTTGCCTTCATCTAGTTGATCCTTCTTTACCAAAAATTGTAGAGACCGATGCTTCGATTTAGGTTATGGTGGTATTCTTAAAAAAGTTTCTTTAGGGAAAGAACAAATTGTACGGTTTACCTCTACTCATTGGAATGAGTGTCAAAAGAATTATTCCACAATCAAAAAAGAAATTCTCGGCATTGTCATGTGCATTCAAAAATTTCAAAGTGATTTACTCAATTAAAAATTCCTTTTACACATTGATTGTAAATCTACAGAGGAAGTTTTACAAAAAGATGTTAAAAATATTGCATCAAAACAGATTTTTGCCGGATGGTAAGTTATCCTTAGTATTTTCAATTTCAAAATTGAATTTATCAAAGAAGAACAAAATTACATCCCGGATTTCCTAATCCAGGAATTTCGTAAAATAGGTCCTAATGGGCGAAAAGAACAAAGGGAAAAAACCCCTTATCCCGAAAACGGACACACCCTCTCCAAAACCCTTTTTATCTTGGGTCGATGTTGCCATAAAATAGGAGTTTGAGACTCCTACCCAAGAACAGATCTATATAAGCTTGGGTCCAAAACTTGACAAGTCATCCGGAACTCCTTCGGGTCTTCAAAAATCTCGGGCATGTCTCTTTAGCCTTTTTCAAAACTAGAGAAAGGTTCTTCCTCCGAAAAACCCCTTTCTCAAGAATCCATTTATTCCTTAAAACCCATTTCACAAAACACTCGAGTTGTTTCTTCATAAAACAAATTTAAAAAATTCGAATGCGAGTATTTTTTGAAAAGATCTTTCCAAAACATATTTACGAGTTGAAGATGGGTATTACTATGATGATCCCTCAAAAATTGTTCAAATTTTTTTCACTCCCGAATGGCATTTCAAGCCATGGGATTTATCAAAAACCCAAACCTATTATATGGCTATCTTGGAACAAACATAATCGGTAAGCTTCGGACACTTTCTTACCCCGGACAAAACCAAAATAGCTTACTCCACTTGCCGGATACATAAAATCACTCATCCTACTCGATTGGGGACTTGACCTTTCCGGACAAAAACCTTCCCCACTAGCTTCAAATCCGTAATAAATCATTGCCTCTCCTTCTCCTACTGGGATTACCAGTAGGCATTATTCAACACTTTTTTCCTCCAAAACAGGAAGAAAAGTCACTATTGGCTTTTCTATTTTGACTCAAAATTTATCTCTACAAATGTTCCTATATGGTTCCTTCAATGGTGGCACTACTTTGGTCCACTCCCATAAATACTTATCCCTAGTATTTCGAAAGTTATAATTTGTTCAAAATACGAGTTTAAACCTTCGGAAAAAGAAAAAAGGTTCACACCTCTTTTCCTTTTCCGTACAAAATTCTTTCTTCCTTGGGTCTATTCCCGGTACTATGATGTTATTTATCAAGAACAAGCTATGATCCTTATTTGAAGATTCAAAGTAAAATGGTGGGATTCTTTCAAGATTCCATCCTCACCGTCCAAAGCCTCGGTGGAACGATGGCTTACAAAACAAGGTCTCCTCAAGCCAAGTTCAACTTCCATAGGTTTCTTGGCATAAAAATCTGCTGTCAAAGCCACACTTGTAGCAGCAAAAAATGAAGAAGAATACTTCGCTATTTTGTTTGAAATGGTATAAAAAAGGTTAGTTTCCTCTCAAGCGGCGAACTCGATTTAGAACCCGAGTTAGACTTGGGAGATGAAAATGAAGACGACTCGCTTTGGAATTCCTCCCTCAATTCACCACCGGTGAATTTAAAAAAAAAAAAACTTTCGGTAATTCACTGTTCAACTCACGTGAAGACCCAAGACAAACAGACTTTCGGTGTCTTACTTGTTCATCCATATGTGAGACACTCGTTCAAAAAGTTACTCGTTCATAATAGCTTTCGACGTCTTACTCGTTCATCCACATGTGAAGACATTGTTCAAAAGCTACTATTCACTATTCAAGATAGCTTTCGTTTCTATAAATAGGAGGCTTATTTTCCATTGTAAGCATAGAGTTTAATAGAGTCTTTTAGAGAGAAAGTAGGACATAATTCCCTTTGTAATTTTGTTCTTCATATTTCTATAAGCTTTAACTCTATCAACATCAAAACATCAAAACAAAACTTCGGATAACATTTTTTATTCTGCGTACCCATTGTAAGTTATTTTATTTTATGTCAAACAAAATTTCTTACATATCTATCCGTTAGTGGTTGGCTCTGCCGCCCATTTTATCTTTTTATTGTTCGGTTTTTTAATCTCTCGCTTTCGATTTTGTTTATTGTTCTTGCATTAAATTGTTTGTTCAAGTTTTTCATTACATATTCATACATGCATTTGT